ACGGCCGGGTATTGGCCTTGGCCCTCGGTGCCCTGGGGGACCGGCTCCTTGAGCTATATAATGGCTGCTTGGAGTCGGGACGGTTTCCGTCGCTCTGGCGGACGGGTAGACTTGTGTTGTTGAGGAAGGAGGGGCGCCCGGTGGATACAGCCGCCGGGTATCGTCCTATCGTGCTGCTGGACGAGGCGGGAAAATTGCTGGAACGTATTCTGGCTGCCCGCATCGTTCGGCACCTGGTCGGGGTGGGGCCTGACCTGTCGGCGGAGCAGTACGGCTTCCGGGAGGGCCGTTCGACCGTGGATGCAATTCTTCGCGTGCGGTCCCTCTCGGACGAGGCCGTTTCTCGGGGTGGGGTGGCGCTGGCGGTGTCTCTTGACATCGCCAACGCATTTAACACTCTGCCCTGGACCGTGATAGGGGGGGCACTGGAGAGGCATGGAGTGCCCCTCTACCTCCGCCGGCTGGTTGGGTCCTATTTGGGGGCCAGGTCGGTCGTATGTACCGGGTACGGTGGGACCCTTCATCGTTTTCCGGTCGTGCGTGGTGTTCCGCAGGGGTCGGTTCTCGGCCCCCTCTTGTGGAATATCGGGTACGACTGGGTGCTGAGGGGCGCCCTCCTCCCGGGCCTCCGCGTTATTTGTTACGCGGACGACACGTTGGTCGTGGCCCGGGGGGATGATTTTAGGGAGTCTGCCCGTCTCGCCACAGCGGGAGTGGCCCTCGTCGTCGGAAGGATAAGGAGGCTGGGTCTCGACGTGGCGCTCAATAAATCCGAGGCTCTGTGGTTTCACGGGCCGCGGAGGGCGCCACCCGTTGACACCCACATCGTGGTTGGAGGCGTCCGGATAGGGGTCGGGGTGCAGTTGAAGTACCTCGGCCTCGTGTTGGACAGCCGGTGGGCCTTTCGTGCTCACTTTGCGGAGCTGGTCCCCCGATTGATGGGGACGGCCGGTTCTTTGAGCCGGCTGCTCCCGAATATTGGGGGACCGGATCAGGTTGTGCGCCGTCTCTACGCGGGGGTGGTGCGATCGATGGCCCTGTACGGTGCACCTGTGTGGGCTGAGCCGCGCAACCGGGCCACTATGGCTCGGTTCTTGCGCCGGCCGCAGCGCACCGTTGCCATCAGGGTCATCCGCGGATATCGCACCGTCTCCTTCGAGGCGGCGTGTGTTTTGGCGGGGACGCCGCCATGGGAGCTGGAGGCGGAGTCGCTCGCTGCCGACTATCGGTGGCGCAGCGAGCTTCGTGCTCGGGGCGTGGCGCGTGTCCCCGAGAGTGAGCTGCGGGCGCGGAAGGCCCATTCTCGGCGGTCCGTGCTCGAGTCGTGGTCGAGGCGATTGGCCAACCCCACGTGGGGGCTACGGACCGTCGAGGCGGTTTACCCGGTCTTTGATGACTGGGTGAATCGTGGCGAGGGACGTCTCACCTTTCGTCTGGTGCAGGTGCTGACCGGGCACGGATGCTTCGGGAAGTACCTGCGCCGGATAGGGGCTGAGCCGACGACGAGGTGTCACCATTGTGGACACGACCTGGACACGGCGGAGCATACGCTCGCTGTCTGCCCCGCTTGGGAGGTGCAGCGCCGTGTCCTGGTCGCAAAGATAGGACCTGACTTGTCGCTGCCTGGCGTCGTGGCGTCGATGCTTGGCAGCGATGAGTCATGGAAGGCTATGCTCGACTTCTGCGAGTGCACCATCTCGCAGAAGGAGGCGGCGGGGCGAGTGAGGGAAAGCTCTCCTCACTACGCAGAAACCCGCCGCCGCCGAGCAGGGGGTCGGGACCGGGGTCGTATCCGTGACCTGGCCCCCTAAGAGCTAGGGGTCCCACCCGTTTTGTGCGGGGAGAGACCCAGACGAGGGGTGGCGTGCTCTGCACGCTCACCCGCAATAGGAAGCCGGGTGATGGTAGACCGCGTTCCCCCGACCGCTCTGGGGGAAGGTGTAACGCGGCGCCATCAAAGCGGGCTCTCGGCCCGCTGAACGAGGGAACCGGTGGTCGTTTCGCTGGCGGCCACCGGTCCGGCGTCCGTGGGACGGTGGGATGGATGTAATGTGCTCTGCGTCAACCCTGTCCCGCCGTTTCAATAGCCCCGACTGGGCTCCGGCCCGGTCCGAGGTAGGGCGCCGGTTGTGAGCGGCAGGAGTTTTTAGTGAGGTTCAACTCCCACATACCCCACCTGCCGCGCGGGTGGGGATCCGGCGATTTTCTCCTGTGGAAAAAAAAAAAAAAAAAAAGCACGATATCTAGAACGCCTCATTAAGGAGCATTTTTTAAATAATAGTCAACCAATTTAATATGTGATAAGGTAGATTTCTGAAATTGGTATCTACTTCAATTGTATACGTTACAAAGGTATTTTGAGTATATTTTATATGTAAATTGCTTATTCTTATTTATGTGTAAAGAAGCAAAATTTAATTATTTTTTATTTTTAATAATTATTATTATATTATAATACTTTGTATTAATTGTATGTATATTTACGGAGATATGTATGTGTGTATGTATGTGTAGGTATATGTATTTCACTGGAATGGTACACCGCGCGTAGTTCGTTTCCAAATGATTCTTGTCCACCTGATGGTTGTCTGGAAGATATCGCTCTTAGCGATAAGACCGCCAATTGTACTTTTTTGTGTTTAATGTATCGCACTGTTTATTTGTTTTTTGGTGTACAATAAAGAATACTCTCTCTCTCTCTAGAGACTCAGCTTAGACAGTCAAGTTATAAGTATCTCAGTTATTGTTAATTTAACATTCATCGCGCGTTTGTCGATTTTATAGAGAATCTGTTCTATCGCTATACTAACTTGAAACTGTGTTTTATAAATAAAAATTGTATAAAATTCCGTCCGTCCGATATTGTTCTGACCATTAAGAAAATTGAGCAGTATAAATAGGCAGAATAAGGGGACCTTGCGGATCTACAATATTTTATAGAAACAAATCAGGCAAATAAAAAAAAACTATTTCATTTTTATAACACAATGGTATTCTTTGATCGGGAAAGTCGTTCGTATTAAGCACATAGTTCTTTAGAAAAATCACTGGTGTCCACACAGAGCTGTCACACAGTCTTACTTGCTAGACTAAGAACATTATATAATATTTGAAAATATTCCTCACGGTAAGTAGCAGTTTAGCTACACTACTGCATTACCACTACTACGGATTAAAAGATAATCTACCTGTGATATCCATAAAAATGTTGATGCCATAAGTACCTACATCATACACTTTTTTTAAATTGAATTATATCACTTTTTTTTTGTTGCTTAGGTGGTGGACGCGCTCAAGGCCCACCTGATGTTAAGTGGTTACCGGAGCTTATAAACATCTACAACGTAAATGCCGCCAACCACCTTGAGATATAAGTTCTAAGGTCTCAGTATAATTACAACGGCTGCCCCGCCCATCAAACCGAAACGCATTGGTGCTTTACGACAGAAATAGGCAGGGTGGTGGTACCTACCCGTGCGGACTCACAAGAGGTCCTATCACCAGTAACATTATTATTATTCATAATTAAAACTGCTTTTGCAGTTGGTAGTGATAAAACATAGGACAGACTAAGAGACACATTTCAGATGCCATGCGTATGTTAAGAAAAACGGTATACACAAGTGTGCAGTTCATCAACATACCACAAACAGTGGTAATAAAATGTGTGCCAATAAAATTTTAAAGTGTGACAAAATACTAACATATTAATTTGACATATGGTGCTCAAGGGCATTGAAATATTGTGAAATGTTCAGGACATTAATTATGATTTATCCTCTTGTTGTGAAGTTGAAAATCCAAGCCAAACAAACAATTATTTCTGTGTGTGCAAAGATACATAAAATGCTAAGCAAACTAATAAAAGAAACATGTGTGTAATGTTTTTTTGTAATTATTTTACAGGATCAAAAATTTTCAGACGTCATTAATGATGCACCACTTCTTTATACATCACACCGCAATCCATTTTTATAATAAAGGACACGAAATAATAATTATATAGTTCAACAAAGACAAAACAAGAAGCAAATCCCTAACAACTAATATATTTAATTTTTAATAATATGTACTATAGTTCGGTTTCAATCACCTATGCCCATCAAAACCATAAAATATTTAAATGGCATGATCAAGAAATGAATTAGATAAGTAAATATCATAAAAACTGTATTTTAATCAAACTTATAAAAGCATAAGAAAATTGTCAATACTTTAAAATATAGGTCATGCATTGTTATATATTATATACTACCTACTACTACTATCAACCCATAGACGTATATTGCTGGACATAGGTCTTCATCAAGCCTCACTACAAAGATCGGTCCCGCTTTACTTGTATTCAGCGCATATTATATTAACATTTTATAACCATAAATACTTAGCAATTAAGTAAACACACTAAAAGACTAATTTGTTTGTCAAACATTGTTGATCTACTAGAATGAAGATATTGAATATTTTTTCTAGATTATTAATTTTTTTTTACATCAAAGTGTATTAACAAACCCTAAACCAAACACTGCGACTGTCACTGACAACAAACATTTTAAGTCATTGTAGGCTAAAGGATAAGTTAGTTTGTGTATTTATATCAAGAAATACAATTAATATAATAGTGGTGAAATGCTTCAAGTAGGTATCAATCTATCTAATGAAATTTGTACTTGACTCATGTTTAGGAATGACATTAACAACGAAGGAATGCCTGATAAAAATAATCAAACTGAAAAAAATGCATTGACACCATTATTATACAATCAAGACATAGAGCTGAGACTCAATTTGGGCAGCAACATTCACATTGTGATGTGTATGGGCTGCTGTATACTGGTTCACTCATCTAAGCAATAAAAATAATATTCAAAATAAATAAAATGTTGATAAGATATGTAACTACAAAAATATATAATAAAATTGTAATGTCTATTATAACATATTCAAATTATTTGATTTAGAAGTAGAATACAAAACGTTGAACAAAATGTAGAACTTACCATTGTGCTGAAGCTTGTACCAATTTTATTTGATTTCAAGACATCACTTTCTGAGGCCATTCGATTGAACATTTGCTTTCTTTCCTTCACTGAGATCTTGTGCTCATTGTCTACCAGCATGCTCTCACTTCTTGATGAAGTCAAAGTAGATTGTGAGGTCTCAGATATCTCAACACTTTCATTGTTCGGTATAGAGGTACGGTGAGACTGTGTCTGTGGACTTGACAGTTTTTCCAAGTTTTTTTCTGAAGATCTCCTTCTCGGATGGACTTTTGGTGGTACATCTTCACTTTGTGCTAAAGCAAGATTTTCTTGGGTTTCGCTTATTGGATTACACTGAGTATCTTGTATAAGATTAGTCAATAAACTGAAATCCTGATTAAGTTGAACTGGTAACGGCGGCCTTGGAGGTGGTGGGGGATCAGACTCTAATTGCGTGTCAAGAGAGCCCACGTGTGGTGACTCGGCTTTAGTCTCACTGACCTCTTCCACATCTTTACCGTTATTTGGCATATACTTCTTTTTGAGTATGAGCCATTTCTCATTGTTTTGAGTTTTTATTATAGCGAGTGCATTAACGTTCTTTTTGAAAGTACTTCTTGCTTCGTCTGAAAGTGAAGCCGGTGTCAAGGATTGGCGATGAATCTCATTCCTACCTAAGATTATACTTACCTCTCATCTCAGGATTCATAAGAAAAACTTTGAAATGCTTCACTAGTTCGTGGTTTGTAACTTTACCATTGTGTGCTAACATAAACTTAAGTATTTCATCGAAACTTAACTCGGTTGGAGCAGACATTTTTTTTGTATAAATAGGAACAGAGCGACTTTATAACTTTTCTATAACTTAAACGATTATGTTTAGGCAATTGAAATTTGGAATATTTTTAGATAACCATACAAAACGTCAAACAAACCGAGCTATCAAACACGTTCCGTTTTCTTTTAACATCAACTTGGTAAAAACGTTCCGTTCCATAAATAAGTAAGTTCATAATGGTCAGGTTGAATAACTATACGGATTAATGAACACAAAAACTCTTTTAAATGACAAATATTTCACGGAATCTTATTGGAGTTAAAAAAATAAATTAAATTAATTAGGCTGATGACATTAAACCAACATGGATAAAAAAAGGCGTTCAAATATTATTATGGAAATTATACGCTTAGAATAATACTAAAACAAATCACACGCTATATTATATCGTAATTTAAAAATGATATTTCTATATATTTTTTTCTTCTATTTTACATACAGTACTTTATAAAAAACTACTTATTAGGTGTTGTAGTGTTTAAGAGCAAAATGGTGCTGTGACTCGTCGCAGGAAAGACCGACATGAACTCATAACAATCTCGTCTTCTATTCTTCTATTCGGGTTCTATAGCTAGCCTATAGATATTGCCTTCCTACCGTTATAATATGATGATGATCATTATTATTATTATTATGTTACGTGAATATTTTTATTGTACCACGGCCGTGTTATGTACTCTTTAGACAAAAACGGTTAAACGATTTGGAGCAGAAATATGAAAAATGGCCACATCTATAATACGCCCTTCTCCCAATAGGGATACAGCAATCCAACGGCACTGAGAGTTAGTTCTTAATATCAGATTGTGAGGGGTAACATTCACTTTGCTATGTGGTTCTGGTTTGCTTAGCATCAGATGACCGATGAGCTCGTCAACCGCTAAAGCAATAATAATAGTCACACCAAATATTACAATTACAAAAATATCATTAAATAATTGGGAGTAGAAGAGAAAGTATTTTTTTACTTTGTCAATGCTAAGATTTAAATTTAAGATTTAAAAGAATACAGCTAATAGCATATTGTATCTACTTTAAAATTATTATAGAAATAAGAAACATGTCCTGAGACCGTTGTATTGTTCCGTATATTATACGGATTGGCATTTGTTTCGTAAAAGTTGTTGTGTACATATCGCAAAACAGTCTCGCTTGCATTGTTAGTTAGGTTTCAGAATGTACCTACATAATTTACCTACATTCGAGAACAGCTTCGGATTCTATGTGTTTGAGCATCGAATAATAATATTACAAATTTTCTTTCATGTAAAAACAATGAGTTAACTAAGAAAAAGCCTGTTAGAGCCTATTTTTGGGTTATAGCCTCATTACCTATTAATCTAGAACATTTTTTTATGAATTATTTAGGATAATTTTTATTTCTTAGTTTGTGCTTTTACAGAATAAACTTACACGTTAGATATAGATAATTATAAATTCGTAGTTACTGTACAAACGAAAATAACCTTAAATTGGAACTGTTTTAAAATTTATATCTTCAAAGTTTATTTACGGTTCTCATAAAAACATAACAAGACTAGTCTTGGGTAATTAACGATTTAATTGCGTGCAATAAAAAATAGCATGAAGTTATGATTATCTCAATATGCCACTAATTAATATAGCATCTAGTAATGTTGCGACACGGTGAAATTTAGATGTCACTGAATATTTATGCATATCTCTGCATGCATAAATTAATAACCATTTCATAATTACGAGTTTAATTTGCTTTAAAGTAACTACTTATTCATATGAAACATGCACTGTAACAAAAATGAAACCTGAAAAAAGCTGTAGGTATATTTTGTTATGGCAAGGAAACGGATATCGAAAATCCATGGACATCACAATGCTTAGGTATACTATCCACTTTAAGAGAAGATATTAGTCGCAATAGACTGTAATAAAAAATCACCACAAAAGAATCACTAACCTAAAATCTTATCATTTTAATGTGATTACGTTTCCTAAACGATTAAACATAGCAGACCACAAAAAAATATGTTTTTCAAATTTCTTCTAAAAAAATGTAGGTACATTGAACATTTGGTTTTGATAATATTACTCTATGAATTTTGTGAAACATCATAGTTGTATTTTAATAGTAGTTATGTAGTTTATTGCACTCGTATTGTAGTTTACAATGATATTTAGAAATTTAATCGAAACTTTTAACTTTTACCCTGTTATACATATTAGTTAGGTATTACTAGTCAATTAACAGCTGGTTATCAAATTATATATTTATTGACATAGTTTCATCATGAAATATGGGTACCTATGCCTTTTTATTCAAACGTTTCACAATTTAAAATTTGAAGGTAGTAAAATTTATCCAAACATTGAAAAATGACAGTTACTCCGCGTAAATCACGTCCTGATTTCGGGCGCCAAACACAGATCACGCTCAGGCGTCTGTCTGTAAAGTCGCTAAGTCGTTGACACTGTTGTTTCATAAATTATGAAACAAGAACTGAAGTAAACGAAACGTCTTCTAGCTTGTGCCTTAAAATTTACAGGTTACAAATATTTTCAAGCTTCCATATTTAAACATAAAAAAATGCCTCTTTTCTCATTCTTTATTCAATAGATTATTGGCAATTTATTCAAATGAGTTATATGAACGCAATTTTTAATGATTTTTCTAAATGCCATTTAAATAAATAAATAGTACGTTTTTATTCGAGTTATATAAATTACGGACGGAGTCAGTTTTTTTAAGTCTAGATATTTAAGCGGTTATCGAGGTTCATAATAATACATTAATGAATACCTACAGCCATTTTGAGACCTGAGTTCCATATTTAAAACATTTGGTTTAACAGTATTCCTCTTACTCCTTGACCGTAGGACTTTGCAGACCTACCTAGTTATAAGACACGAGATAGAGATCATTCGAAAGATAAAAAAACGTATTGTCATTTAATGTTACATTCCTGCTATAGGTATGACAATAAAAAGAATTTCCATCAAGCCGGAAACATGGTTGGGTTAAATATTAAATGTTGTTGGTAGGGACTGGTATATATCCAAGCTTATACCTATCTAGATTATCTTTAGGGCTATCTACCGCTATGTCCCTCCTCTCTAATACCGGAGGTCGTGCCAGTATGTACCTACAGTGGTATCGGTGTTGGGAGTAGCTTGCAAGTGCTAGCTGCCCCAAGTCTGAATATCCGTTGGGCTGTGGTGGCGTGATGAGGTAGTGAGGGTACGTTCCGTAACCACAGAGCGCGGTGAGTCGGCTGCAATGGACCTGTTAATTGCTTATGCTGTGTGAAGTATGCATTTGTTCAGTCGCAGATTACAAGTGTAAATTTGAACCACAAAGGAAAAATCTTCCACCGAGCGGGCGTCATTGCTCCGTAAATCGTTTCGAATATCGTTGTTTGTAACTGGTATAGGTATATATTATATATCTACATATGTGTCATTCGATTGAGGATAGGTACCTTCAGATGTTGGCGAGACGGTTTGGAATTTGATTTACAATGCGCCGTACAAACGCATCTTATGGAACTGAACATATAAAACCTTTATTTTTATTGCCCTTGTAGGCAAACGAACATACGGCCCACCTGATGGTGAGTGGTTACCGTCGCCCATGGACTTCAGCAATGCCAGGGGCAGAACCAGCCACTGCCTACCGTTAAATACAAGCTTCGTTTGAAGAAAGACATGTTATAGCCCTCGGGAAACACCGTGGAGGGGAGCTCATTCGAAAGCCGGATGGTATGTGGCAAAAAATACTCTACTTAAATACTTTTGCAAGAGATTATTTACAATCTCGATGAAGTTTTCCGATATTTATTTCGCTAAAATATCACGCACTGTCTTAAAAGTTTCCCCTTTCTTATAAGTCCCATTAAACTGAAGCAAATAGCCACTTTTTTTTAAACTTTATTATGTTCATCGATGAAAAATTTGTACTCTATTACTTTAGCATTATTTAACCGTAAATGCTGTGTTGTTGATAGTTAAAGGTTTTGTTTTTGTCCAGAGCCTCAACACAGTTATTCACTTAATTCTATTCGATTCAATTCAATTGTGTTTTTTTGAGTTTTTACAAATATTTAAGTTTGAGGTTTTATTGCGCTAGTGAACTTAATGACCCATTTATTAAAAAAGCAACATGATTACGCTTTTTATTGTAAATTTGTAGATCTGAAACAAATAAAATTTCACACAAATAAATTAGCATTATCCTACACTGCTACATACATTAAAATATATAAAACATAAAAAAAGTATAATTTAGTAGTTAAATATCCAAAAATAATAATATTAATATTATATATTTCAAACAATTAACTGTACTAGAGATCCCGCGGTAGTCGAAATTCGACTATAATTAGTTGAAATTATAAGTTTCAGCATTATTATGGTTCTATTGTGAAAGACCATTATTCTACTTACTATAATCACAGATTTCGCCAAGACAAACAATATTAATCTATTCTCAATTTGACCACGGACTTTTAACAATAACAAAAGTTTGGCAACAAACGAAGAGTAAGTACCTATATATACGCGTGTTTGTGTGTGTCAAATACATGGTAGTGTGTGTCATGTTTCTTTTATTGATTTAATGTAATATTGAGGCATAATCTAAAAAAAGTTTAGCATTCTGCACTCCCTCTCTATATTCTATATAAGTGTGGGAAATTTCATACTCCTCAGTCCGCGCAATTTTCGTAAAAAGTGGTACAAAGTTTTTGCTTCACGTATTAATATCTAAATTTGTCGCTTTAAACTAAATATATTAGGTAAATTGAAAACCGCATAGTACGAGTATCATAAATTTTACGCCACAACATATTTATCTCATAAATAGAAATTTATGAAACAATAATTACTATTGAAATTCATAATTAGCTTTGCTTATATTGTCACTACAGTCCCTATTGGGAGGAATTTAGTTTTAATGTAAATATAAATTAATTAAAATAAATTAATAATTATATAAATTATTTTTTTACTAGTGGTAGGACCTCTTGTGAGTCCGCGCGGGTAGGTACCAATGCCCTGCCTATTTCTGCCGTGAAGCAGTAATGCGTTTCGGTTTGAAGGGTGGGGC